TATATATATATATATATATATATATATATATATATATATATATATATATATATAAAGCAAAAGATAGTCAAGCCAGTAAACAAAAGTAAATCTTTTTTTCTCAAAATATTTTTTTTATTTTTCCAAAAAATACACTAATACAAAGTATTTTTATATAATTAATTAAATAAACTTTAAGCACTAGAGGCCTTTCAAAAAATCATCAGTAGTGCTGTTATGGTATTATAGCAAAATTTTTGTATATATAATAAATTTAATTACATATTGTTGCTATGAGTAACTATTTTGATAAATTCAATTCTAATAATACACAGGAAGTATCAATTAAATGTATCATGTTTTTGTTTGTGCAGATGCTTTTTGTATGATAACAAAAAACTTTCTTTGTTAAGCTCAAGGAAAACAAAAAATTGAAAAAAAGGTTCAATTACATTTTGGTACACACCCAACTATAATGAATAGGATATAACTTGTATGTTAGTCTTTTTTGTGCAGTGTTTTTTTTTTTTTTAGGTAATTCACCATCCCAGGGCCGAGAAGGCCACTACAGATGAGGAGGCAACTCGTGGTTATAACCCTCTCTCAACTGTGCGGAGAAACAAATTTGTATGGTGTTTGTGTGGTGTTTATGGTTTTTGTGTGGTGTTTATGGTTTTTTGTGTGGTATTTATAGTGAATGATGTAGGAACAACGATGATTGATAATTATTTATTTAAATTTTCTAATTGGTATTCAGGCTTGGACAGGAATGGCGTGCTGTTGCTGACCACGCAATTGATTTTATTTTTTGACAACTTGACCATGATTGTTTAATAAACAATGTTTATATGTTTTGATGAGTTAAAAATTTTAGAAATGTTCTAAATGTAGAAACGCTAAGCTAAACTTAAACTAGGAAAAAAATAAAAAAAAAAAACTAATGAAAAATAATTCCTAAGGAAAAAAGAAACGAAAAACAAATTCATAACGAAAAAGAAATTATATAAGCACTAAAATAAAAATAAAAACTTAAACTCGAAGCAAAACTTTTTGTTACGTTTTTAATTACGTATGAAATAAACGTTATTAGAGCTTATCTTTTTTAGCGTTATTAAAGTTAAGCAAAACGTTTTTAAATTAAGTAACAAATTACTACTAATGATTGGCTTAATAAAAGAACAAATTTTATTAAATTTATTAAAAAGTGGTTTATATAATATTTTTAAATTGTATAAACATTTATTTTGTCAAAAAAGTTGCAAAAAAATTCTTCGCAGTAACGTAAACAAAAAAAAAAAAATTAAATAATTTATTAAAAAAGTCGATATGATTTTTTATTTATTTAAAGATCTATAATAAAAAAAACATACTAATATAATTATAAAAAAATATATATTATATTCATTAATACTTTTATAAAAATCATTAGCAGTGATTTGTTGCTTTATTTAAATGCATTTCATTAATATAAAAACATAAGTAAAGATCAAAGTTATTTAAGGCTTTCAAAAAAGTTTGTCGTTTATTTTTCTTCTCAACAAAATTTTTCTAATTTTCAAGTGAATTAACTTTAATGATTCTTATATAAACTTTATTAAAGAGACCATGGCTGGTATATGCATGTAAAGCTTATGTGTTTGTCTTTATTATATTTTTTATTACATTTTTTTTAGTTTTGTTTTTTTTTGTTTGTTTTTTTTTTTTTCCTTCTATTAATGTTAAATATATTTTCTTATTTTTATTCATGTTAAAACTATCATTAATTTAATCATTGTCATTAGATGTTTACATAACGTTAGTAGTTATAATATTTGTAAACAACCTTAAAATGTAATACCAACTTTTTCAGAAATATATTGATTGATTGTTTGTTAAAAACATTGTGCCAACCTGATGCTGACCAAAAATAGTTTAAGGTCAGCAAAAAATTGCTAATCTTAATTTTTCTAATTATGAAGGTTTCCTTTATTATTCAGGTTTGCAGCCATTTAACAATACACTTTGTAAGTAGCTTATTCGAAATAAACTGGTAGGTCTTTAATAAATATAATAAAGAGTGTCAGTCTGAAAACCTTCAACCTCAAACCTTCCCAGGAAACACTTGCAGTTTTTCGTCTTGTGTGTCCATGCATAAGTATTTTTAGACAACTTGGTCACGGCCATTTGCAAGTTTTATTATATGTGTAGCTGAAAAAAGTTTTAAAAACAAAGAAAGCAAAACTAACAAAATAGGAAATTAAAATAAACTTATATAGAAAAAAATCATAATTTAAATAACTTTTTTTTTCTTTTTTTTTTTTTTTTTTTTGTTTCTTCAGAGTGGTTGTTATTTTTAACAACAAAATTCGGTAAGTCAAAGAAATAAAAAAAAAAAGTTTTAAACATTAAAAAGAATGATTTTCCTATATTTTATTTGTTTTTTTTTAAAGAGGAAAGCGAAAATATAAATTGTCATCTGTTTGTAAAATATATTTGTATAATTTTAATGCAGTAAGTATATATTGTCTCTTTGAGAAAACATTTGCATAAATACCCTTTTTTATGTAATTTTTTGTATTATAAAAGTATATTTATTTTGAATAAGGCGTTATCTTCATATACCGAGTGTCCGTGGTTCGATTTCCACAACTGTCCACATTTTTTTTTTAAATACCGCTGACCATATATTTGCTTTGTAACTATTTATGTTTTCTTATTTGTATATAAAAGATCTTTATGTTATATGTTTCTGAATGATACACCTTTTATCAAATTCAGATTATTTATACCATTTAAGCTTTTAAGTGTATATTCTAAGTAAGGTGCATACACATATTATATATATTATATAAGGTGCATACACATTATATAAGGTGCATACACATTATATATAAGGTGCATACACATTATATACACATGATATTATATTATATAAGGTCCATACACATATAGGCCATGCTGTCTACACATAGCCTTAATTGTTTCATATTACCTTTCTTTTCCTGTATGTTTTTTATTCCTAACATTTTAACGGAGACGTTTCTTTTTACCATTCAGCTCTGCGTGTGTAATAAAAAAAAAATATTTGAAAGATAAAAAGGAAGTGGTTAGTCTTGAACCACGGACATTTCATTTACAAAGTCTATACCTTATTCAAATAAACTAAGCGTGCGTACAATTAGGAGGAAATAAATATAATTATATAATATAAAAAGTTATACATAAAAGTATAAGCATTTATTACATAGACGTTTTCATAAAGGGACAATATATACTTGTTACATTAAAATTATACAAATATATTTTACAACAAACATTGCAATTTATATTTTCACTTAAAGTTAAATAAAGGAAAATCATTTAAATGAATTTTTTTTTGCTTGGCCACATCTAATTTTGTTGCTGAAAATAACAACCACTTCAAAGAAACAAAAATAAAAACAGTACACAAATTATTTAAATCATTAATTTCTTTTTAATTCCTATTTTGTTAGTTTTGCTTTTTTTGTTTTTGAAACTTTTGTTTTTGAAAATATTATAAAACTTGCAAACAGTAGTGACCAAGTAGTCTAAAATAAAATACTGGCATGTGGTCATACAAGACAAAAAACCGCACACATTTCCTGAGAAGGCTTCGAACCTTATAAATCTTAGCTAGTTATACCAACCTATCAAATTTATCAAATAGCTTTGCAAAGTTAAGAAAAATTAGGTCAACTGTTTCCTTTGACAGGATGACCACTCAAATTTAAAAATGAAATTCTATGACTTTACCATGACTTTTCGATGACTCTTCATAAACTTTTATAATAAATCACTAGAGTAAAATATTCAGTACTTTTCAGTACGCATGCACTTGCAGTACTTGCCATGAACTAAGCATTTGCAAGTTGGTAATTATAAAACATGCAAACCAAAAACTAATTGGTAGAAAGTTCTGAAATCATGTCTAAAAAAAACTAATTTTCTTTTACTTCTCTAATAACTTACACTGCAAAAATATCTTTTTCAAAAAGGACTTAGACTAGACATAGTAGTACTTTTCTTTACATCCTAAAAATATTGCAAGTAGAAAAAAATTAAGATAATTTTAAAAAGTTCCATGAACTTTCCATGACTTTCAATGAACATTTAGGAATTTCATGACTTTTTCCATGACCAAATAAAACTCCATGACATTTCCATGATTTCCATGATTTCTATGACCAGTGGCAACCCTGTTTGAGTCAAAATTCAATTGTTCCTAAAATATTTGTGGTATAAACTTTGTTTGAAAAGAATCCATATTGGGAATTGGAAAGCTTTTTGTCTTATTATTTTAAATTTTCTTTTGATATAAAATTATTTTTATTTTTATTAAAAGAATTCAACCTAACCATAATAACAAAAAATAATTTCAAAAATACAGCATATTTTTGGTCTAACATCTAACTTTATAAAATTATTGCATAGACAGCAGACAATCAGCAAACAACATACTTTGTGAGATATTTAGTAAAATCCTAATAATTATAACAAATATTATCAAATATTTATATCATTAAAATTTAAATTAATATTTATGCAAAAAAAACAGTTAATACTGATATATTATATCAAAAATAATAATAATATAAACAAAGTAGAAAACATAATGCTAATGTTTTTATTATGAGACTTCACTTTTTAATTAAATCTCATAATAATTTCTGTCTACATTAAAAGGTAACAAGAAAAAATTTATATGTAATAAATTGTATGTAATAAAGCATTTCATTGATTTTTTTTTAAGTAACTCAAATATCTTTTAATATATTTTGCTTGTACAAACATTACTTTTTACTCAAAGAATTTTCAACAGCAAGATTTTTTAGAAATTCATAAAATTAATCATTTAATTATATTTTATATTAAAAAATAAATGAGAGTTAGTGACAAAAATTGACACAATAATTTCAGTCACAATATAAGAGTCTCTAAAGGTAAGGAAAGTTTAAAACTAAGTCATTTTAATCAATGTATTGCAAAAAGAAAAATAGAGACTAAAAAAATGTAAAAATCACCTGCTTTAACTATATTTTCATCTTTGTTAACTTGATTTTCTTGAGTTTTAGTTGAACTTTCTGCTACATTTAAGCAAGAAAAATAATCATTATTGGCGTTATGATATGATGGACGTCTCCGAGGGCAAACTGGTTTTGAGGCTGATGAATCTGTATTTGTGTTAACTTCGTCAACATTTGAACAATTTATTGATTTCATATTAAGAGGCGGTCTAGTTTTTACCTTAGGATTACTACTAATATCTTTTTTAAGTTCATCTTGATTTATAGTACTATTTGACTCAAGCATTTCATTACGTTTTTCTCTAAAACTGTAAAGAGTATTTTCTGAATCATTTTCAAGATCAGTATAATTTTCATTTTTTAGCCCTAAAGGAGATTTTTCTTGCATTCTTTTAGTATCTTCTGAAAATCGTTTAATGAGAGCAAATGGTGAACTAGGTAAATTTTCTAAAAGTTTTGCTGCACATACTGATTCTTCTTCTTCTGATGGGGTCCTTTGTTTAGATGCAGACGAAAAAGGATTTTTATCAATATCAAAACTATTTTTTAACCACATATTTCGAGGCAAAGATTTACTTACAGGATTTATAAGTTGATCATCATTTGATCTATTACTTTCTAAATTTTTACATTTTCCTATACTCATTGAAAAAGGGTTTGTTTGTATTATATTATGCTGTCCCTCAGAAATTTCAGTTAATCCAGGATTCTCAGTTGTACTATTAGATCTCCTTGTTAATGGTGGGCTAAACATTGGATTTTTTGCTACAAAAGACTGAAGTTTTAAAGTTGAAACTTTTGAAATACTTGTAAAACTACTCAATGGTCCTTGTTTCAAATTCTTTATATTTTCAAATTTCTCAATACCATCCCTGGCTTGGTTTTTGTTTTCTAATCCACCCATGTCAGAGGTTGAAAAAGAATGTAAACTTTGTGGTAATCTATTTGAAATAGCAGTCATTGAAGAACTTTTTATATTTTTAATAATTTCATGTGATTCAATTGTTTCAGATTTATTACAATAATTTATTTCCGTAAACAAATTTTCATTACTATTGATTGCTATGGATGACTGAACAATACTTTCTTCCTCTGAATGTAAACTTTGTTTTATTTTGCTGTCATTTGCAGCATCAAGAGTGCTATAATCCGTAATATCGTTTAATTTATCAGATAAACATGTGTCTATATCACCACTCTTAGAACTTTCATCGGAAAAATTATTACATTCCAATTCATTGTCGTTTTTTGTTTCAACTTGTTGGTTTTTAGAAAAAATTTCCTCCGCTTTTCGTGCACGCCTTTTTACGAGTTTTTTTCGATTATTTAACTCACCGGTTTCTTCTGTTGATGAAGTAGAAATTTTATTCAAATTTGAGCTAGTATCGGAATCTGAAAATGAACAGGTAGAACTATGCTCTTTTTCAACAATATCAATCGATTCAGCTTTATCACTAAACGCATAAATTATATCTGACTTAGGGTTTTGTCTATCGGTGTTTATTTGAACTTCTTCCGCGACATATTTAAGTTCTCCATCGTTGAAATTATTTTTATTTAAGTTTATTTCGCTGTCAGTAAGCTGAGAATTTATAATGGAATCAAATTCATTAACATTTATGTTGTTTTGTAGATTTTCATATTGTTCTATATCATTTTGTCTGTCGATATAACTCGGTTTTGCAATTTCTTCACTTTTTTTTGTATTGTTTATTGAGTTATTTTCTTCATCTGTTTTTACATATTCGTGCGGTATGACGTCTGATGGAGAATCGTTATCCAAATCGTTAACTTCAGTAGGCATTGTATCTGAATTACTTGTTAAAAATCTATCCGACTTTATATCATAAATAGTTGAATCAGGAGAACAACTGTCAATTTGGATTAATTCAGAATTCCCTAATTTATCTTCCGTGACAGAAGCATTGTTAGTAATTACATGATTATTGTTAGTTAATTGATACTCAATTAGATGTGAATTATCTTTGATCGCGCACTTTTCCGAATCGGTAAGACTTTGAAGAGAATTAGATTTTTCGTTTTCTTTACTTAAGCTAGAAGACGTAGGTATTATGATAATTTCTGAAGTAATATCGCACGATGTCTCAGTAATATGTTTTTCTTTATTGACAACACAATCGATAGAGCACGATGAACTTTCAGATGATTTTTTTTTAATAACTGTTTGATTTTTTTTTGTCATACCTTGTTGATCTGTTGAATGCTTTTCTAATTCGAGAAATTTGTTTCTGGCTGAATTAATATTTAATGGAGGCGATACACCCTTAATATTCTTAACGGTATTTGCAAGTTTTTCTTCTTTATTAAGTTTGATAATTGTATTAGCAGCCGCTTTTAGACTCACAAAATGATTTTCTGCGTGTCCTCCGTTACCACTGTGAAGCCCCGCTTTTAAACCGTTTAAATTTAAACGGTCTGAAGATTTCGACGTCAGAGTTGAATCTAATCTTTTTTTATTTGCAATGACGCTGTTTTCTTTGTTTTGATTTTTTGGAGAAGCTTCTGATAATTGCATATCAAGTGAACTTTTATGCAAATTTTCTTGCTTTACTATATTGATTTGAGATAACAGAATAAGGTTTTCCCCATTTGTTGTTTGTGAAGCAACTGTAACCTCGTTTTTTTGCAGATTGATTGTTTTTTCGTTGTCTGACAAAAAATTATCTGTAGGTTTTACTTTTTTATCTATTGATTTGATACTTGGTTTTTCGATAAGCTTGATATGCCCTGCCTTCTCGTTAGATTCATTATTTTTTTCCAAAGATTTGATATGTGCAAGTTTTTCTTCCTTTTTAATTGTGATAATTGTATTAACAGCTGTTTTAAGACTTACAGAATGATTTACTCCTTCGTTACCACTGTAAAGCCCTGCTTTTTCATTATTTTGAGAACCGATATATTTTGTGCTACAATCTGGACTAGCAGATTTTTCACTAGTTTGCCGAATGATAGATTTGTCGTCGCTAGTTTGCCGATTTTTTTGATTTCTCTGAGGATTGACAAATTTCTCGTTGTTTTGAGTGCTAACAATCTTTTCGTTATTTTCTGGACCATCGGCTTCCTCAATACTTTGTAGGTGGTTTGTTTTAATGGTATTTTCTGAAGAGACTGGTTTCATGTTTTGCAAACTTTGCATTTTTTCACTAGTTTTATCAACGCTATCGTTATTGAGGACATTTTTTTCAATATGTTTTGGGATACTAACTGCTGTTTCATTAGCTAGCTGGTTTGTTTTTTCAATATGTTTTGGGATACTAGCTGCTGTTTCATTAGTTAGTTGGTTTGTTTTTTCATTATTTTCTGAAGTTAATGTTTTCTCTTTATTTTTTTCGGAAATGTTTTTTTCATTTCTTAATGAATTTATCTCGTTATTTTGTAAACTCAACAAATTCTCATTTTGTCGACTAATTATACTGTTATTATTTTGTTGACTAACTACGTCACTATTACTTATTTGTCGACTGATATCATTATTTTGCAAGTTGAGAATTTTTCCATAATCGGGCGATGTAGCAGTACTTATTCTTCTTCGAGGAGTAGAAACTATCTCGTTATTGTTTAACTCTAACGGCTTTCCGGTTGCCGTACCATTTTCTGTGGATTTTCCGTACTGAAGGATGCGATCGTTTATGCTAGATGGTCCGTTAACGTTAGATCTTGGCCTTCCAATACCACCAATTATTCTTTGTCTATCGTTTAAATCAACTCTAACGCTCTTTTTCCGACGGTATACCTCAGGTTCAGACTCTACAAACGCCATATTTGATCTAAATTATGATAAACTTTCTTTATTATCATTATTATTATAGTTGTTATTACTGTTAATAATTTTATTATTATCATTAAAACAAAATATAATGTTTTTATTTCTATTGAACATTCATGCGTACACTCTTAGCTATTGAAAATGTAATTTGTAAGTTTTAATTAATTTTAACGCCTTTTAAGCTTTTTAATACACTCACGCATTATTTTTAAAAGTAAGCGTTGATAATAAATTTTATTTTTCAAAAATTTGAACTCAACTAAATCTTAAAATTTTTTCTTTCCTTCTTTTTAACAAATTTTTTTTTAAATACAAGTTATACCGTTTATGCTTTGATAGATGCGGTTGCACTCGTTTGGAATTATTATATAGAGACAATTATGTTTAAAGCCTTTTTAAGTGTGGCATAGATTTTCAAAAGTTATTTGAGCAGCAGGTAACAATTTAATAATCCTTTTTTTATGTGTTTATTTTTTTTCATCCTTTTTTTGTGTGTTTTATCGTATCCCGTATAGAAAATGATTACAAGTATGTTAAAATGAAAGAGTATAAGAATAAATATTCTTTTAAATTATTAATCTAAAGAGTTGCTTATAAAAATTTATTACTTTATATTATACGTCCATTGTTATTTATTGCGTGTGAGGGGAAAGAGGACAGCGACAACACGTAAAACTCGCTAACTCGCTAAATCTAAATACTAAAACATTATTAGTTAAAAGCAACAACAACAACAAAAATTTGTTTAACTTAAGAATGTTTTTTTAAACAACCATAAAAAGAAGAATTTTATGAATGAAAAACATATTGGTGTCACTGGCAGGATAAATGCCAAAATTATGAAAGAGGTGCTTCAATAACAAACAATATTTATAGTAAAGTTTTTCATAAATATTGTTTATTAATTTTCGCTTTCAAATCAGCAAAAACTTTTGTACTCTAGTGCTTTAATAATTTGTATCCTATTACGATTTACCTAAAAAAAAGAAATATCTTTTAGCGAAATGTAACTTAGTATTAAACTTAACTAAATGTGTTAATAAGTTAAACTGAGTAACGCCTGAGTAAATTAAACTAAGTAATGCGAGAGTAAATTAAACTAAATAATGTGTCAGTAAATTAAACTAAGTAATATGTTCATGTAATCCAAAAGTTTAAACTTAACTAACAAAATGTCAAAAACTTATTTAAACAATGATCTTATTTATAAACAACAGTTTCCTGATTTTAACAAATATTTCGCAACATGTTATCTTAAAAATTTCACCGATTAAAGGTTTGATTTAAAGTTTTGATATTTATTTAAATTCATAAATAAATTTTTTTGTTTGTTTTCATTTTACTTAAGTTTGGTATTGTGCATTATTTTAGAATCTATTTTTTTAATTTTATTCATTTAATTTATTTTATTTTATTGTTTATCTTTTAATTTTATGGATATAGATTTACTGGTAACCGGTTATATTGATTAAATATAAGTTTATTAGTATCAAAAAATTCATGAATGGTGCTAAGATTGATTTTTATCATAGCACAAGAGACCAGGTGAAGATTTTGATTGATTTGCTTTGTTTCTATTTATTTTATTATTTATTTATTTATTTCATCTATTTCAGAATTTTTAACTCATATTTTATATCATATTTCCATTAAATTATGAAAAAAAAAAATTTGGTGTACAATTTTAAGAAGATGCTTGACTCGTAATCTCTCTCACAAAATTGAGCCTCTAAAAAAGTAGTTAAAAATTAGTTTTTGAAAAAAAAACTTTTTTTTTGTTTTTATTTCAGAAAATTTAAATTTACAATTTAATTAATTGAAACTTATTGCAAATAAAGAACTTTATTTTTTTCTTATTAAAACTTATTATTTAATTTGAAAATTGCAGCATAAAAAAAAAAAAAAAAAAAAAAAATTGAGAAAAAAAAAAAAAAAAATTTTAGGAATTTAATGTACTTCAAATGAATGTTAAATAAAATTTTCAAAAATAGAAAATTTCTTTGAATTTCCCTGTACCTACTAGAATTACTTGAACTTAGAAGGAAAAAAAAAGAACATTTATATTGAATGAAAAAAGAACATTTGTTTGAATTTTTTTTTATTTTATTAAGAAACTTATACACAACTGTTTGAAACAAATAAGAAATAATATATTTAAATATAAAATAGTTTATATTACTTAAAACTGGACTTTGATTGTTTAATATTTTATTCATTGGTAGTTATTGTTCCTTTACTAAAAAATAGTACTTGCAATACTTTGCACTTTACCAAAGAACGTTTAGTAACACATTTAAGTTGATTTTGATTAGCTTACAATAGTTATAACATGTATGTATATAGGATTTAAGATATAGCTGGTTTAAAAAATATGATATATTCTTAATTAATACAAGTATTGTTCTCATTTGCTTGCCAGACGGTGATAAAAAAAACTTTCTCTGACGGATTTTTAAACAACATGTAAAGATATTTACTTGCATCTTCAGAAAGTAAGAGTGGTATTAATTTGTCGGAATATTTCTGTATATAAATACAGGGCATTTTAAGTAAAATGAGGGCAGAGGGGGAAAACCTCACAAACTGCCGACTGCTGGACAGGTGAAAAGTCTGTCTTTTTAAAAGGAAAGACCTTTTTAAACTAAATTTGAAATTAAAGAAAAACTAAAAACTTTAAGATAGGGTCTATAATACCCTACAAGCTACCTATAAATACTTATTTAGTTTCAGGTAAAGATATTGTGTGTGGAATAATAACTTTTTTGTTATAACCGGAAGGAACCTATTGTTCATTCCGTGACACAAGTTTTGAATGCCTTTATCTGAAAATTTTGAATGTTACTATCATTTAAACAAAGTTAAATAAGTATTTATAGGTATTATAGGTAGTAATGTTTAATTGCCCCTTTCTAAACGTTTTTAGTTTTTATATTCGAACTTCCACTTTAGTTTACAAAGGTCGCTCCTTCTGAAAAATAAGACTTTTTCTTCCTGCCTTGTTTTCTAAAAGAAAAAAAAAGATGTTCTTAAAACTGAAAATCTTCCGACTTAAATGTGTTAAATGCCAATTAACTGGCTAAGTTCATAAAAACCAACTATATTCTTAAACAAATTGATTACAACTTCAATATCGTCTACACACACACACAAACACACACACACACACACACACTAAATTATATGCTCATTAATCCAAAAGTTAAAACTTAATTAAAAAATATCAAAAACTTATTTAAATAATGATTTTTTTTTACTGAACAAAAGCGTTAGAAAGTCCTAAAATAATATACTATGTTTTAACAAAACTAAAACACAGCATTGAAAAGCCCTTACAACAAACAACTCAGTTCAGGTAAACGTTTATGTAAACACTTATTTCATTTTTTTATTGTTACTAAAAGATAATGAGTAATAACTTTATCTTTTTTGACTATACAAAGGCTATTATAATTTGTTTAAGATCATAATAAATTTTCTATTTAATTTACGAACCTATATATATATATATATATATATATATATATATATATATATATATATATATATATATATATATATATATATATATATATATATATATATATATATATATATATATATATATAGTAACTTTTTTGTTTGTTTACAAAAACTCAATGGTTGTTTCATACAAAGCTCAACTTTCTTTATATCAAAAAGGTAAGATTTAGGATTCCAAAGAATAAACGATATTTGACATATACTAGAGAAACAACCCAATTCAAAGTATTGAGAAAATACTTTTTGAAGGAAATTACGACAAAAAGATGCGGGAAATATAGGAGAATAATGCGGAAATTACCAAAATCAATACTTTTGACGAAACAATTACAAAAATTTTTAGTTTGGAACAAACAACTGGTTAAAGATTAACACTACTTTAACATGGTTTTTTATATAGCAAATATTTTCGGTACTGGTTAATTGATTTTGGTATTAATTGAATGGTTTTAGTACTAATGGCATTAAGCAGAACCTTGCATGCATCCGAGGATATTAGTCTTTTCTTTTTCACTTAAATTATGTCGTCTACAGTACATGACAAAAGTTATACGACGTTAAGGTTTATTGCGGACATCGTTATATACCGGTACCAGTGGCGGTAGGGTTGCAGATCACCAGTTATATCTGCAATATTGCTAAGTCTATTTTTAAAAAGCTCTAAATAAAAAAATAAAACAAATAAATCAATATTTAACGAATTTTCTTTTTTTTTTTTATTAATCTTTAGTTAAAATGATTTATTTTATTAAATTAAATTTAAACAATTTTAAAATAAACTAGGTTTTATGCTAATTAGTGTTAAATTTTAAAACTTCTAAAGCAATGTGAATGGGGTGTTGAAAAAAAAAAAAAAAAAGAATTGTTAAACTAATGCAGAAACTGTAATATTACAACTTTTTTAATATTACAAACAGTGTAGGAACCAAGGCAGACAGGATGAAAACTTGGGAAAGTACTGGGTCAGAACTTGAAAGAAAACTGGGTTAGAACATAGGAAAAAACTACTCTGATAGTAGAAATACTCTATTGTTTATTTAAAGCTTTATATTTTGAACATTTTTAAATCTACAGTTTTTACGTCTTCGATTTTTACGATGACGATGATCGTTAAATAAGCTTAAATCAACAACTATATAAAAAAAAAAAAAAAAAACGTTGGTAACAGTATTTAAAATGTCAATACTCCTGGTCAATTTGATTTTAGCATTTTCTAATATTACCTTTATTTTTATCTTTAATTGACAACTTTCTTAAATGAAATTTTTTTAATATAAATTAATTTCTTTAATCTAAAAGAAACTCGATGTTGTTGAAACATCGAGTCGATAAAATATTGTGTCAAAGTTTTTTATAACTATAGAACTTTTGATTTGTGAAAAATTAAATTAATTTCAAATACGTATTAAAAAATAATCCGTAACTGATCGATACACAGTATTTGATTTTAAAGTTAATTGTTTTCTAAACCTTTATAAATAACAAATCAATAAAATTCTTTGTTATAATATTTTCTCATAAAAAGACAGTTTAAAGCGCTTTTATAGTTTCATTAAAAAAAAAAAAATTGTACACCTGATTAATAAAATTGCTGTAACGTAAAATGTTCTGAGATTTCCTGTTTATATTTTATGTTTTGAAACTTTGTAGAAGCGATCTAAAAACTTTAACTTCATTAATTGTATTTTTAGTACAACATTTAACAGCTTTTGCATTAATTTTTATAATTACAAAACACTTTTTTTATTTTTCTAAAAATTAATTTAATGTTCTGCTCTTAAAAAGAATGAAATTGTTTCTCTTCAAGTCTTTAAGTTTTTCAAATATTTTACATTTTAATAACAAAAAGAATCAAAGCAATTAATTTCAAAAGTAAACAAATTGTTATTATTAATTTAACGTTGATAAATTTTAATGAACAACCGTCATTGCAATCTAATAACAGTCTAAATAGTGCTCGATTATGTTAACCTACTTTCATGGCAATGAAAATATAATCCTCATAAATTGCTCTCAAGAAACAATTTAATACTTACAAAAGCCTTTATTAAAGATATCTACTATAAAGGTAAATCTAAGTTATGTTACAAACAACTATTACTTTTTTCAAACAGTCGATATTTTTAAATAAGTAAAATTTAAAATGAGTTTCTTTATAAATGTATTAAAAAACAAAGTTTCTTTTAACATTATAAAAAATTTTTAGAACAAAAATCGTTTTATGACATATGGTGTTCCAGTATTTTATTAATATATTTAAGTGAAAACTTGAATGATAATATTTAATTACTTTAATTGGATCCATTATATTTCATTAGAAAAGTTAAATGTTTTAATTTTAAAAAGCAACAACCGTTTATAAAACAATATTTTTTATCGGTTTAAAAATAATTAAAAATTTGAAATAATTAAGAACAAAAATGTAATTTCAATCACTATAAGAGTTAAGGATGAAATTTCACTTTTCGCAAATATAAAAATAACCTACCGTGATTACAGTCGTTAACTTGCAAACTTATGTTTTTTACGGCAATTAATTTTCCCCGCTCAAATCAGTTATACCATTATATTCCACTAGGTTATTGTCGTAAAAAGTTATTCGGAATTTTTTAAAAAACGCACTGAAGCATTGGTATTAAAAACAGGATGGTTAAGGAATTCATTTATGTAAGAATTAACGATAATTGTCTTCCTTGTTTCAAGATTAAAATTACTCAATGGAATTATAGTCTTGTTTAAAATTTTCAAATAGCAAATTTAATTCACTTTGTTGAAATGACCGCAACAAAATAGTATAAAATTTTTCTTGGTTTTGTGATTAGTGGTTTAAATGATTGACTTAATAAAAATGGGAAATTTTGTAAATTTTTTAAAACGGAAGCCTAAAGAGTAACAACTAACTAATTTACTAGAAAAGAATTTATAGAGCAACTTCTCGATTGATTTGATATTGAACAGTGTTTTAGCGCAGGTTTTAAAATGTGTTTTACATTCTATTTTATTTGCTAAAGATTTGCAGTTCCAAACCTTATATACAGACATTTTAAAATATATACACGCACTATCTGTAATTCTGCAACATCAGTACAGTTTTTTAGAACGACACAGGTAAAATAAAGCCTATATAGGGGAGTTGCAGTTTGGCGTCACACCCCATTCCCTTAAAAATCCTTTGTCCCATTAAAAATTGTCTTGAAAATGTTTCATAAAAATGTTTTGTGTGAAAAAACAACAACTTTTTTAATAATATTTTTTTATAGTTTAAAATCTTCTTTGTAAAAAAGTTTTTACTTTTTTCTTTTTTTTTTTTAATAAATGATTTAAATTTACAAAACAACATACATCTCACACTTGGCACAAAATAAAATTGCTTAAAAAAAAAACTATTAAATCTAAAGATCTTCGTTTAAGAGCGCCGACAAAATTGTTTTTTTTTTTCATTTCATTCGGTTTGAATAATATGCTGTAATTTTTTATATAATGTTTTTTATATCCAAAGATACTGTAGACCTAACATGAGAGCTCAAACAAATAACCATAGAGACTATAAGTAGCTGCTCCTAAACATCCAAAACTAGCGTTCGTTGTTGACCAACATTTTTGGGTACCGAAGTACTTATGCAATGAGATGGCGGTGGCTGGATTTAAACTCGATTTGTGCAACAGCACAGGTTGAACCAACAGAGTATCAAGCCACAAATTATGCAATCAAGGAAAAAAAATATTGGTCAATGTCAAACACGTGAGAACTTCAAAGCTTTTCATAAGTAAAGCTAAAACCAAAGTTGTCTAACCAATTTGTTTTGTTTAACTATTTCCCTTTTTAAAAATACATGTATAAGGCTGTTCACAGTGAAAAAACCTGTTCATCATGACAAACGTTTTGCAATAATAGCTATGTCACGGTTGTCGAGGATTCTGATAATGCCAACCGGTGAACGGGTTCTAATAATGCCAACCCTCACACGCCACTTATATAGAAAGTTAATTTTCACATCAAGGTACCATTTGTCGCTAATTTTAAAATTTTTTAAATTTGTCAGTGAAAAAAAAAATTTAAATATTCAATTTGACTGAAATTATAGTCTATGGCCACACTGAACTCTGGATAGCCTATGGCCACACTGAACTCTGGATAGCCTATGGCCACACTGAACTCTGGATAAAGTTTTAGTCTATTGGTTAATTGGTTAAAGGTTTATGGCAGTTTTTTGCTACTTATACCTCAAAATGTTACCGATTACTGTGGTATTCGGTCACTATTTCAAAATAATGGTTACACAAGTGTTCTACTATATAAATACCAATTACATAGTAGAACAGTCGAGTAATTTATATTTACAAGTTTTGTTAATACATGTACTATTTTCATTTTATAAATCAAAAAATTGATTTGCTATTTAAAGCGTGGTTTGACTAGGCTTATGCATCGCGTGAATAAATCAATATTTCCTAAAGTACTAACTTTAGCCAAAATGTAAAAAATTACTAAAAAAAAGTGCAAAACCTGGTCAAACAACTACTTTTGGTAATACAAAAAAATTGTTCTGTTAACAAAAAAATTGTTCTGTTAACAAAAAAATTGTTCTGTTAACAAAAAAATTGTTCTGTTAACAAAAAAATTGTTCTGTTAACAAAAAAGTTGTTCTTTTAACAAATTTTTTATTGACTCTTGAAACTTTCTTTAATTCATTTACTTTCAAAATTAAGTAAAAAAATAACTTTTTAAACACTATTTTTTACACTGTATTACCATTAAATCAAGGGCGGATCCATAGAGGGTTTGGGAGGGGGAAGGAGGGGTAATGTAGGCGATCACCCCCTTCTTACATGATTTGAAAAAACTTTTTTTTTTTAATATTATTTGGCGTTTGCATCCCTTTACAAAAAAATCATGCAATGTTAACTAAAATAATAAAGTATCTTGAAGTAATTTGAATTTATTGAAACTATTTGACAAAAATAGAGAGTTTAGTTGTTAAACTAAATACGTATTAAATAATTAAAAATCTTAATTTGTTGGTTATTTTAAAAAACTATATTACGAGTTTTAATTTGCGATTTGCCGACAAAACGTTAGTAAATCACGTTTTTAACATTTACTGGAATTTCTCTTTACACATTAAGTAAAACCAATTAGACTTGTTTGTTTACCGTCATTCATGTTCTCAGCCAGTTTTTTACTTTTCGTAGTGTTGAAAAGCTACGTTTAGCACTAGAAGCACCTAAGGATATGACTTAATAATTTGAAATAACTTGTGAATGATTGATTTTTTTTTTTTTTTTTTTTTTTTTTTTTTTTTTTTTAAGTTGATTAAGGTGCCCCAAGAAGTCCTTACGGTCTTATCAAAGAGCACCGCGGAAGAGCATTTAATGCGCCACTGCTGCTTGAATTATTGCACCTCATATACAAAAACAATAGAGATATAAGTAGGCAATGATGTGGTACCTCCCTTATTCTTTATACATTTGCGCTGCCATAGTTTAATTTCCGATGTAAATTCGGTACAGGTAAGTTTTGGATACTAGCCCCAGAATGACGCCATAAATGATTGTAAAAACAGTATCAACAATATCTTTATGATTCAATTTAATAATATTTTCAATGTAATAATATTTCTGACATCAAAGAATAGATTTGAAAATATTTTAAATTTTCATTAGAAAATCTTTTTTACGCTCACAGCACAGCTAAAAGAAGAAAAATAGCTTTAAGTAATCAAGAAACAGAAAATATTATCGAGAAAAGTACGGATGAGTCAAGCAGCTCAGAAGTCAAAGTTATCACTCCCTTTCAGCAAAAATGGAAAACCAGATTGTTAACTGTTGCTATTCAAATCGATCCTACAACGTTACAAAATCAATCACTGATGCCTCCGATTGATTAGGCCTCGGCGTCAGAAATCAAATGGCTGTTGCAGCAAAAGTCGTCTAAGTTTGCGGTGGTTCGTTACATCATTTTCCAATTTTGTGATCGTCAGTTCACCGTTACCGTAGTGTAGAATGATAGAAACAATGTGCCCAAATAAGGTAAAAATATCAGGAGAAGCGCCCTCTTCATCCATCCGGTCACTAGGATTCAAAACTTGTTTCGCCACTTACTAGGTAATGGATAATCTATTTAAAATTTGTATGTAGGAAAGAAAGAGAAATATGTTGCTATTCTGGCTAGTGGTTAGAATGGGTCATCAAACAATCTCTGTAATTATCAACTCTACTGGTCACGCCCAGAAAGATGCATTTATTTAGTGTTTTTCTTCCTGGAAACTGTTAGATTTTAATTGCCCTAGTTTTTGAAACTAATTCTATCAACACTGGATGGAAAGCTGGATCTGCATTACTCGTTGAGAAAGAAGTAGGTTGTGCACTATTGTGGACAGCTTGTCGCCATCATGTTTACGAACTGCATATTCGTCACGTCTAGGATGCAATTAATGGAAGTCATAACGGACCTATAGAGCCAATTTTGAAAATGCTTCAAGACATTTGGGATTCTATTTCTCTCAAGCTTACAAATACAACAAAATTTAAGTGGCCGGAAGAAAACCATCTTATTCATCCCCAAGCAACACTCGCTCTGAACTGAGCTAGTAGGTACCTTAAGGAGAATATCTTTCCGAGGGCCGATTATCAAGAATTGATTGAACTGAAAGTTCATTATCTTTGAGATGACTTGCCTGGCTTCTACTTAATTTAATCAAGATGACTGCAAACCAGGTAGATTGGATGCAATTACCTGTCGAGCACTGGATGAAGATGAAAAACTACAACTATGTGAAAATTGTTGTTAAGTACTGTCAAGTTGGGAATGACTGCACCGAGAGAGGTGTAAAACCTATACAAGATTTCAAAAATAAAGTCAAAGACCCCGCGCAGCTCTAGCTGCTACTTCAATTAGTGGAGACCATTGTAAACGAGCTTCTTTTTAAGGACAAAAAGATAATTTAATCAATATTTGATTTTTTTTAAAACAGTGCTAATTGTATCAATCTTACATTGACAGAAGTTAAAATGCTTAAAACAACTTGACTATTTAAATCGAGGCAACCCTTAAATTATTTTTTTTAAGTTAAATTTTTTATACAATATAAATGAGACAGTAAATAATACTGTGTGAAAAGTTGAAGTCGTTTAGGAATATATTAATTAACATTATAAGCAAAAATACTAAAAAAAAAGACGGTAAAAAAAGGATTTTTTCAACTTTTTCTGAGTGGGGGGACCTTAAATTTTTATATATTTTAAAAATACTTAGTAATTTTTTTTTTTTTCTCAGCCTTAATCTCACTTTAAAAGTTGGTGTGGTAATTTGAAAATTTTGTGGGAATAGGACACCCTAAAACGACAGATCAAATATTATCAACTATTGTCCCATCTCTTTTTATTCGGTATTTTCAAAAATAACTAACTATACAGCAAACAATTCGACTTTAAAAAAGGTAACTCAACGGAGCATGCAATAATCCAGTTTGTGCATGAAATCTCGAAATCTTTTGAAAAATCACAGTACCTGTTAGATCTCTTCATTGACCTATCAAAAGCTTTCGACACTGTAGATCATTATATTTTACTGCAAAAACTTAAATATTATGGAATCAAAGGTACTGCTTTAAAATGGTTTAGATGAATATCAGGAAAGGTAGGG